TTTTTGATGGATGTGTATAATTATAATTATGGTCTGCAAAGTTGTTTCTAGTGAATGTTTTGCGTGTTTTTGATGGTATTGTCATGGGTTTGTATGTTTGGTAATCCATATGTGAATATTTAGGGGCAACCGAAGGTTTAACGGTTGATTGTAAGGTTACCTGTGTTTGTGAAGGATTTGTATTTCTTGGTGTTGTTAAATTTGGGCGTATTGGTGAAATACTTTGTTGTGTAGTTGTTGTGTGTACAATTTCTTCATTTATGAAGTGTGATGGTGTCTGTATATCTTGTTGAGTAAGATTCCTAGTTCCATTGAGGTTTTCATTGTGTATGACTGTAGAGTTTAAACTATTATTTTGTGTATCGGGTAAAAATGTATTATAGTTTAATGGTGTTGCATCAATTGTTAATGGTATTACTCTTACATAATCTCTTATGTAAGATATTGTACCTATTGCTTGACTTGAGATTGATTGTGGAAAGTTTATAAATACGGGATGAGACCATTCGGGGTCCCAAACATAATCTGATTGTTCTGTGATAGCTGTATCATCGTTCGAGTTTTGGGGTCTAAAATTTTTTCTTGCTTGTGCAATTAAATCAATATTGTGTGTAAAATAATCTATTATGAACCATGCTAAAATTTTTTGTAAATCGTGTTTGGTATGTTGTGAAACGTCGTCTTTCGTGAAATTTTCTTTAATGATGTTTAAATAACTAGAGAGTAGTGTGATTTCATGTCGTACTCTTAAATGTTTAGATGTTTCTGTCGGTGAGACATTTGTTAATGGGAGTTCATTTTCTAATATCGAAATATAACTACATATTAGTGCGAAAACTTCATTGGTGAAAATGGAGTTTGCTCTTTGTGAGTTATGGTATTGTATGCTTTTTATATATTCTGAAAAAACTTTTGAAAATTCTAAATCAAGGTCGTCTGTTTGAATAGTGTATGTTCTATTATTATGGTTTGGGGAAGTGAATTCTATAGAGTAGATTCCATATTGTTGTGTTATGTTGCATATATCTTTTAGATAGTGATCTATGATTTGTCTTTTGATTTTTACATCGGGGAACTCTGTTTTACATGGACTGATTCCGGGTTCAAATAAATTTACGAGTAAATTTTGACAAAATATGTGTTGTCCTCTATCAGTATCTGCATCTACTATAAAAGGAAAGATTTCATCATCATCTGGAGTTTCGTCACCTGGGGTGTGCGTTGAACTCATTTTTTCGTTCGATGACTGTTAATATGTAATTATTAATGTGTCGAATTGGTTGATTCCAGTTGTATAGATGTACTGGTTTGTGTTTATACTGCTTTTTTATTCTTCTTTTTCCTCTTTGTGATGAATTTGAAGTTGTTTCTGAGTCAGAAAAATATAATTGATCGTGTTGTGGGTAATTTTTATCTATTGATTCTTTTAGTTTGTAGAGTTCGTCTAAACTGTTGGTTTCTGATTCTGAAAATGCGTTTCGATTTTTTGAAAATCTTTTTCGTGTTATTTGTCTTTGTTTAGTGATTATTTTTCTCTTTAGTGTTTGTCGTTTTGTTCGAATGTATCCAACTGTTTGTGTATGAGGTGTGATTACAAGGTCGTATTTTTTGTTATCTATTTCACAATTGTGTAAAACGATTGTTTGTTTATTCCCTAGGTTTTTAAATGACATAAGGTTTAGGATGACGGGTGCAAAAGGTTGTTAAATGATTTCTATTTTCCTAAACTGTTAGTTCTTACGATTTTTTGGTTAGCTTAACCTGGGTCTATTTGTTTAGGGTTGGAGAGAAAAGTATATCGATTCCGAAGAATGATTTTTACTTTCTCGTGACTAGTATAAGCTAAGGTGTTAACTTACTTAATCTTACTTAGGGGTAGTGATTGTGTTCAAGGGTTGGAGAATAGTAAATCGATCCACAAGGTTCAGGTATAATTAGAACGCGAGTAGTTCGTTAGATACTATTTTAAACTTACTAAGTCTAAGATTTATCCTGGGTCTGGTAAGAGGGGGGATCAAGTGAAGGATGAATAACCGAAGTTCTTCACTGTTTATCCTAATTTGAATGATTAGTTTTGTTTAAAAATTTCTATTAGTCTTGGGTCTTTAGAAAGGGTTGGGTAGTGAATCGACGTTTGAGGTCGTTAGACACTAATTAAGTGGGTGGGGGAGAACAAAGTTGTTCTGTTTGATCCAAGGATAAGCCTTGATGATCAAATTTAAAATGTAATGAAGTAGAAAATGATTTAAGATCCAAGGATAAGCCTTGATGATCTGGTTTTAAAATTAAGTGACTTTAAGTTTTAATGAGGTTTTAAATTTGTGTAAAGGAAAGATTTAGTATTTTATGATATTAGTGAGTTGATGATTGCTGTTATGTTTTAGGTGATGAAGCTGGAACAACAGGATGATTTATGATTACTAACCATTTATTGTCATGCTACTAATTTTTATTTTTATTTTCCAATAAATATTTTTCAAACATGTTTTGTATAATACTGCAGAATTTTAGGAAAACGATCTTAGATCTTTTTATCAATCGTTATTGTATAATATTAATTTTGTTTAGCGCCTGAAATGATTTTGAAGATTTACTTCAAGGTTTTATGTTTGCAAATGGAAATCTAAATTCATTGCAAGTAGTATTCGAAATATAAAAGTTTGTTCTGGCTTTTGCCGAACTATCATGTAACTATACGGCAAGTTTCTACTTTGTCGTATGTCGTCTTTGGTTCGATGTCTTCTTCCAATTCCGGGTAGTTCTATTATGGTTCGGAATATTGGCTCGGATCTATTGAGTCGGAGAGACATTTCAATTAAATTATTGTCGTATAACATTTTGTAAATGTTTTTGTCTAATTTCTAATCTAATTTTGGTTAATTCTAATCTAATAAGGTCTTGTTCGAGACTTATGGTCGCACCAGATGAGTTAGGACTGGAGTGTAACTCATAGAGTAATTTCGGATAGGGTACACCGTCTGCTCGTCACGCTATCTTATTTTCGGCCGGATAGATTCGTGCAACTTCTTAGTCTAATACCGATCCTAATCTTACTCTTATACTATCTAGTCTCAGGTTGTTTAACTAGTCTCTGCTAGGCTCAATAGATCTAGGGTATACTGGTTTATTGCGGCTGCTGAAGTGCTCGGGAGAGTCCAACTAATTTCTAAGTTAAATTCAAATCTCTCTGGTGCTGAAATTACAAGTAACTTCAGCACTTACAAATAAGTGGGTTGTTAGTTAGATGGATCATGATTGGTTAATATTAAATACTTTACATTGGTAAAACATTTAATTTATCCAATCATAAAATATAGTTTAGATCAGGTTCCATTTTACTGGTTTAAACATAAAATACGTATATTTTGTGTATGTGTGTATGTGTGTGTTTTTGTGTGTTTAAGTCGGAGAAAAGATGTGAAAGCAGTTTGAATATCATAAACTGTTAAACTGAAATAACAGTAGTTTATAATCATCCAACACTTTTTTGTTCTCTGAAACAGGGCAGTGGTTAGATTTTGACTCTGGATTAAGTATAGATTTTTCACGGATCGTCGTAAAACGATATATAGCAAGACGCCAAACTCATTTTCTGAAAAAAATAATAGCAGTGTTTCTTGTGGAAACGAAGAAACTGGCAGAACTTTTATGCTCGGTGGGTTTTTTTTCCTCCGGACCGAGTTGAACTTTCCAAATAGCCACTTTTGAACTTTTTTCTGTCACTTTTTTATGATTTTGGCCTCTTGTGCTGAAATTTGAAAAAATTATTACTCCTTGACCATTTTATGTGAAACTATGAAGTATCAAAAATTACCGATTCGGCCAATTTAGTGGATTCAACGCGCGATAATAGCGGGTAGGGGAACATTTTTTTAAAATTTCATCAACTTTCGAAAAATGATTTTTGAAAAACGTAAAAGGGCATTTGCAATTTTCAGGGCTCCACGAGCAACTTTGTAAAGCAGTGCTGACTTCAGCAGTCGTTCTGGTAATTGCATTATTGTTTCGACTTTTGAAGAAAGTGACAGAATATTTGTGCTCGGGGTGATTTTGTTCTCCAGACAAGTTTTGACTTTTAACTAGCCGTTTTTGACGGAATTTTTTTCCTGAGATCGAATTGAAAAAGATATTTTCCCAGTGATTTTTCTTTTGGAGAGTTATGGGGTTCTAAAATTGCCTATTTATCCGTAATCTGGGCTAAATGATGCGCACATCGAAGAGTTTATACATAACGCTGAGAGCGTAACGCATTATTTATGCGTTGTAAATTATCCCGCACAACGAAATCGTTCCGAATTGAATGGAGGCAAGCTAATCAGTCGTATTAATTTTCACAATTGATCTTTGATATTGTCCAAAACTTTCAGCGTTTCAATATATTTTTTTTTTCACAAAAAACTATTCGAGCTGGATTACGGCCATTAACACGCAGTCGGAACATTCAAGGCTTTGCCCCGATACACGAGCAGTCTTGTTTTATTACATTTTATTTCTCTGTTACTGCTTCATTGACTCTAAAAGATGGTCGGAACATGCAGAGCTTCGCCCTGATACGAGCAGTCTTGTTCGAATTTGCCTCGGTTAATATCATGTTTTTACGCAAACAAACAATTAAATACGTTTTGCATGTGAAAACAAGGATAGCCGGTTACTGTGCAAGTAGTGTGGTCTTAAGTATGGTCTTTAGAAAACCACGGCTTAGAAAGTTAGGCATAATAGACAGTTACATATAATGGGTAAAGTGGACAATAAAGAAAAGTGACTAAAAAAACAAAAAAAAAATTAGAAAAAGTTTGTTTTTCAAAATTTTTTATTGAAAATTTTTGAATTTTTGAAGTTTTCCACTAGTTTTACTCATTGGTCATTAAATTGATGAGTTAGACAGATAATGGTCAAAATAAATTAGTAAGCTGACTTTGGTCAGATTATAAAAGATCTAAACCTAAAACCAAATGCTATCAATAAAAGCGATCAATACTGAACATGCGAAAACAACTTACGAAAGGCTGTGCGACATTTTCTGGAATCGTTTTTCCAGAAACATTTTGGTCTGCTCGACAGTAGGGTACTCCAGCATTTTCTTCCGGGGGAATATTTGGAGCTGTTCTGATCCAAGTGACCAGGGACTGCTGCATATTCCTATGATTTGGATATCTGTGCTGTTCAGAATGAAAGCTCGCATCGTCTCGTGGATTTCGTTATTTGCGTTGTCGTCGCCTTCATACACCTGAAAATGACAAACTTTGAGAGAAAGCATGCGTAGTTTGACATTATTAGTTCACTCTTTGCATTGTATGCTATTTGATGCTCGATGAACGTAGATTTTTTTCTGCGTGTGTGGGAGTTGAAGAGTTCCACAGTTTGTTAATGAAAAAATATTACATTCAAATTTTGTTTAAGCGAAGCTGCCAGAATTTGTAACTTTTTGAAAATTTCAAAAGATCAAAGCCCAGCAAAAACTCAAAAATTACTGTGTCGTTGAGCGTATGATAAACCACGCTTCGCTTTTGTTTGCCCATAGCTCCCCTTTTGGTGGCATACCTGATGATGCATGTCTTCCAGTACGACTGCTGCGGGCATGTGTTGTCTGGCGAAGGAGAAGGCATACTTGAACAGAATGGGGCCATATATGGAAAGATCCTCTGCAGACACGCTCACAAATGTCACTCCAGGCAGCTCAAATGGCAACACTGTCTTCACCAAGTGACTCTTGCCTACCTGCGGAAAACTTTTTGTTCATCAAAAAAGTGTGACGATTTACCCACATATCATTTATTGTTTAAAAAAGTCCTTAAAAAACGAGGAAAGAAGTTAAGAAATACCCGAGCTACTCATGAAAATGCCCAAAAACTAAAGGCCAAAAGGTATAAATAAAAAAAAACACTTGGTTATCAAAAAGGAAAGTTTTAAATCACAGTACTTGTTTTGGTCCGTAGATGAGAACCGGATCGAAAATCTTATCACGTTTCCTCTCTGATTTGTTCATCTTCTCTCCAGTGGCGTCATCAGTTTCGTCTTCACTTTCATCTCCGTCGTCGTAAATCCCTCGTTTAGATTCTTCCATATACGGAGTCAGAAATAGCTGAACTAGCTCAGGGTCGAAAGGAAACGTTTTTTCTTCGATTGTTGATTTGAAGAAGGCACGAGTCTCCGTGTCCAGAGAATCCACCGGTCCGATTACAGAATACTTTGTCTTCGCTTCTTCCTTCATTCGTGCCTCAAACCTACACAAAATGAAGCCCAGAAGGTATTTTGGTTTTTGCTTCCATCGTAAGTTCATCATAAACTTTGATGTTCCAGAAAAATATATATACAAATCAAAGCTGGAGGGTTTCAAGACCGAATATATTTCAATCTCACCTTTTTCTTTCTCTCTCATCATGTTGGGCTGTCAGCACTGTTATTTTCTTGTTCAATTCTCGCAGTTTCTTATCCAGTTTAATTCTGTTGTCAACTAAACCATAATAATACCCAAGCAAAAAATCAGTAGAAAGAACGCTATCGACCGAGATCCAGCATTCCAGGGGCCGGTTTAGGGGCGAGGGGATGGGGGGCTTTATCCGACCACTCACCAACCAAAGAGTCCAACCTTTGGTATTATTTTATGACATCCATTGTTGGCTTTTTGCGCAACTATATATCAGTTTTGAAGGGGAGAGAAAATTCTAGATCCGCTCCTTGACCAAAACTATCTCAAAAATGAGCCCTAACAGGTAGTGTGCATAGAAATTTTTTGACACTTTTTGTGGAACTAATCGTTAAGTTTTTCTAGGCCAGCCACTTCAAGCTTCCTAACCAAATAAAAATATGTATATAGGTCTCGTATTACAAAAAATTGCGTTCCTGAGTCCTAAAAAAAGTTTGAGAATGGGTTCGCCTCTGCGTAACTGATATTTTAGATTGTTAATAAATCTATAATTTTACATTCTGGCTGCCATCGTACAGTATTAAATATAAAATCAAATTAATTTCAGTAAAATTTACCTAGTTGGATTTTGGGGAGTGACATTGAGATGAAATTGATCGCCCTCTCGTAATGATACACGGCCGCTAAGTAGTTCAACTCATCTTCCCCATTTCGAGCGTTACTTTGGATTCTTTCCTCACTCGTTCTGCCTCCCTTTTCCTCCAGTCTTGAAGCTCTGATCTCCTCAATTGCTATTTGAAGAGGATCCTTCCTCAAAATTGTAATCGGGGGAGATAACATTTCAACAGCGTGAGACATTTTAGAACGAAAGATTTGCTAGATTTTTAAGAAAACTTTTATCTGACTCTGAATAGAATCGTATTTGTCTGAGTAGAATCGTATTTGTTCAATATATCTTGCATTTGCAGCTGAAACTACTTTCAATCAATCAAGAGCTCAAATATTCATGTTTTTCAATACTACAGAATCTCAATGTTGTGTTATTTTTTTTGGATGGCATGTAACAATCAAAAACTGAGCCATTGGTGTTTATGCGCAAACACAAACATTTGGCTGCACTTTGCACGCATCAACTGAAGAATCAAAACAGTTTTACTTTTTATAAGAACCATTCCACTTTTTATTCGAAATTAGATCAAAAGTGGTTCATTATCGTAGTCCTAAAACTTTTACAATTCATGCAAATTTTGTATATATAAAAAATGGACATTCTCAAATGAAATCCGCGTGTCATTTTGTTTTGGAATATATTTTTAGGTCGACCAATTTGATTTTTCCAGAACTCCAAAAACTATATCAACTCTATTTTGTTTAAAATTTTTTTACACTGCTGGCAACTTTTGAAAAAACAGGCTAGAAGGGACTTTGAGCCCTTTAAAAAGTTTTGACAAAAAAGTTGTGTTTTTTTTGGTGCAATATAACTAAAAATAAAAACTTGGGTAGGAGCAGTTCCCTCTTTGTAATAATTTGAGACATCCAATTTTGGCTGACTTAGCTTAAAATTTTTGTAAAGGCGTCTTTGGCGTTAATTTATATTAATTTTGATGGGAGCGCGCGCCAAAAAAAATGCAAATTTTTATTCAAAATGCGTAAAAACGCTTCTTTTGCCTTTTTTCAAAATTTTGTTTATCCGCGGCGCTGAAAATTTTGTTGATTTGAAATTTTTCTGAAAATCCTTCTCATCGAGAAAACCTAGAACCTCTCCTGATGTTTCTTGGGAATTTATGGGGATTTGAAAGTTGCTAATATGGCCAATTCGTGATACGTAACGAGCAACATATTGCGTTCTTATAACATGTGCGAGCTGCGGGTTAAACTGCTGTTTTTTGAATTGAGGTCTATCTCTTTGTTGTAAATTAGGAGACAACGCTATATACATTTTTTTTTTCAAAGCATGCGGGCGGAGAAAAAAAAACTCTTTTCTATCAATTATTTGATTAGAGTTTTTCAAACAAAAGTTTCTTATTTGGCCTTAAAGAGCAGTTGCAACATTCAGGGATTCGCCCTGGTCTCGAACAGTTTTGTTAGTGTTCTAATCTTAAGCTTTACTAGTTAGTATCGAGAGAAACATCCCCAGTAACATAGTAACCATCAAACAGAAGTCAGAGTTTTCCATTGAATTGAATTTTCTAGTTTTGTTGAGTCAAGTTCATTGCACCCAGTTCTCTCTGGTGCATCCAAAATGCCTTCCTATGTTAGAAAAAAAGCATGGAGTAATGTCTTTGTTTTCTGGCACCATATTCTTAAGTTGAACGCGCCAAAATTTTAACTATAGGCAATTACTGGCTGTAAGTCAATTTAAGCTCCTCCCGTGCGCGTTTTCACACGAAGTAGAGTATGACTTGTGATGACCGAAAAAATAAAGGAATGTTCGAATCGTTCGATTGATCAAAGCACCCCTGATAGCTCAAGTTCCTTTACCGAGAAATTTTTTTCTAGTGAATTCAGAAATCTCGATGCGTTTTCAAATGTTACCCGAACCCTTCAGTGCCCAATCCCCGAAGATGCATCGCAGACCAGGCGGGTGTCAAGGTTTTGATCGAATTGATTACTCTCTGTAATTTCTGATACTAATTTCAAGGTTTTTTGAATGCCTTAAGGTGTTCACTTTTTACTTCAAAAATTTTATTTTTGCCTGTGTATTTAGAAAAAAAATTGTGGAACCGCTGTTTGGGCTAGAAATGGACGAGGTTTTGTTAGCTGGCGTATCAGCCCGATAATTTTTTTAAACTGTTTAAATTTTTTCTTTACAGCCTCCTGTTTTCTTTTTGTCATTGCTAGAAATCTCATTATCAATTGTGTGTGTAACCTAACCATTCTATTTGATAACATGCAAAAACAACGTGTCTACTGACATGGCTACAAATTTTCGGTCCAGTGTTTGTAGTACTGCTTTCAATGTGTTTTCATGAGGATATATTTCGTTTCAGTCAATACATTGTCTGGATATGCGTACTTGGTTACAATCAGTTCTTACAGTCAATTGTTGCAGTCAACTTACACTCTTTTGTTACAATCTCGTCTAGATATGCGTACCTGGCTTTGCAGTTGATACCTATTAGGTCTATCGTTTTTTGAAGTTCAGCCCGCATACCTGTTAAAGGGTAGTACCCCATTCAGTACTTAGTACGTCCCCGATGAGTCTAAATTTGTCTAAGTTAGCATTGCTCCCGATGAACTTGAGTTTGCATTGAGCTCTGGTTTTTCATCCAACCGGATTTTTTTTGTGAACCTCCACAACGTAAATTGAGAGTTGAGAACAATGTCTGATCCCTGTCATTGGTTTTAATTAGCTGCCGTTGTTTTCTACAGCAGTTCAAAATTGGGCAATCGATTGTTTTAATTGTGTATAACTTTGTTGATCTTTTTGAGTTCATTACAAGTTTCACAGTTTAGTCCTTCCTGACCGTCACCACAATAAGGCTAACTCATTTTTTGTCTGAGCATTTATCTAGTTTTGATACTACTTTTCTGATCGATCAATTTGTTTAATTCGTTACGCACTTGTTCTTGTAGAGTACCGTTATCTGCGTTCTCTCACAGTTATTTTTTTTCTTTAATTTTGGTCTTTTTTGCAAACGCCATCGGTCGACTCAGCATTGCTTCTATTTTCTTTTTACACCTGAATTTTTAACTCTCCCTCTTAAAATTTTTAAATGCTTCTGCTATAGCCATGACTGTGAAATGACCTCGTGGGATGTCTTCCCATTTATTGACATACAAAAAATCGACAGATGCCATCTGGTCATCATTTTCTTCTATTTTTTAAATTTTTTTTCTTCATTTTTAGATTGTTCTTCGTTTCCATTCTGATTAAGGTTAACGTTTTTCGATATTCAAGTTTTTGCGAAGTGACCCCGTTTTGCTCACTTAGAATATAAACTTTTTGAATTTGCTTGACATGATTATTGGTGTTTCGGTCCAAATGTTTTTCCACACTTGTTTCATAGTCTGTTTTTTCCGCCTTGGTTTGAGTTTTGGTTCACCCTTGTACTATTATTCGCTCGAAGAAATATTTGTCTTCCTTTCATCAGTCTATTACCGCGTTGATGCTTTTTGTAATTCTACTGTCCTCGTCAACCTCGTGGTTGTAAGTAACCCATAGTTTTTGTTTGATAGAAGTTGATTTTGGTAGATCATAATTGTCTGCACTGTTTTGCTGTCTTCGATTCTCTCTCTGGTGCACAATTGGTTTTTCATATGCAATATGTGGTGTTCCCGTTTCTGCTAATATTTCCTCAGCTATTTTTTTTGTTCAAAGGGGCAATGAACATGTCTCCTACCCATTCATCTTCTCGATTGCCGCAGTCGGCCTGTGACGTTTGTTCAACCAGATCCTTGTGGAACTGTTCAAAGGAGTCGCTTCTTTTTCGTTTCTGGCACTTGAAAATGGATCGTTCAAAATTGAATACCATTGTTTCAACGAAAAACTCTTGTCATTTTTTTCCTGAATTGTCTTGTTGTTGCTGAATGCAGATTATTTCCCATTGCAGTTGCCCTTGACATTCAGCGCCCAAATAAAAAAAGTAAAATTTGTAATCTGGGCATCCGCTTCGTCCAACCTGAATAAATTGCAGTGCACTCTTTTTTCTCGTGCCATAATGACTTTGTTGTTCAACCAAGCTCATAGTTTCTTTTAATTACGTATATCGCGGTTTCCCTTTTGGGCCTCTACTTTGCCGGAAGTTTCATTTTATATTTTGTTTCGATGGGTTCTGTTACTTCAGGTTTCTTGCAAAATAAATTTTGTACATCCATCCCGTCTTCGGCGAATACAGCCACTTCTATTAATGCGGCCCATTTCGACTAGTTAAATGTCTGTTCTGCTTATTCCTGCTGCCAAAATGGGACGATGCTGAGAGGTTTTTATTGTAATCTGCTGGTTGCGCCATGTCATACCCCCATGTATGACTGATCTTCATTACTGAATCCGAACGTCTTGAGCACAGGAACAACGCAACTTAAAACAATTGGTTGGTAAACAATCAACTGTTTTTCCGAGAACTTTTGTTTTCACCTACGAATGTCACACTATCAAGGTCATACGACTGGTGTACATCAGAGTACAACATTTTTTATTGCTTGCCATTATCCCGCGGGATGACAGTTGTACTGTCTCCTAATTTGGGGCCGAGAAGTTTTCAGCTAAATTGAATTGGAAAAAAAGATCAGATTTGCTCAAGGAGGGAAATTGGAAAACCTTAATCTACAAATTTTTAAACCTTTTTTTCCTATCGCATAACTGAGTCCGGTAGAAATTTTTATGAAACTTGCTTTTTCTTCAAACACTTTTCCAAATTCTTCAATGTACGCTTTGAGGTTTTTTGCAATCTGCAATCCTTAAAAAGGTTAAAACAACAACATGGCAGAATCTGTTATTGCAGATCTTTTACGAATACTGGTCATTCATTTTCCTTTTTTGTTAAAAACGATGCAAAACCAAAGTAGGAAGAAAATAAAATGATCAACGAAAGCCAATGTTCGGGCAATTTGACTAAAACAAGTTAGATACAGCTTTAGGACGCAGACTGCTTAAAAAAGCAAAAAACCTTTCAAAATTCAGAGTTTTGAATTTTTTGTCTGGTTTTTAAATAAATTTAGTTTATGGAGTTGAATTTTTAAAATAAAATTACCAGAACTAGGAAAAAAGTTTCAAAATTTTGTTTTATACCAATTTTTGCATATATGAATTTCATGAGGAAAACTAAAAGTAAAATTTACCGAGGAGTAATTCTAAGCTTTTCACATTTTTTAAATGGATTGGCGTGAACTAAATCAAATTCTATGATTTTTGTTCAGGTGTTTTTTGTAAATTTATCAAATGAAAAATTAACAAATTAACGCGCTTTAATCAGACTAAGTTTGCCACAGAAGTCTCAAATGCAAAACTATTGTAACTCTATGGAAAATATGTGAGGTTTGCTACCCTGATCTCCGAAAGAGATATTGAGAAAAAGAGAGCTACTTGAGTTAGGTTCGAGTTGT